GTATATTGCTCATTGACATAGAGCGCAACCCCTCCCCCTTTTTTCCCCACCCTGTCCTTTCTGTACAATCTATAACCCTCAATATGTACCGCCCAGTCGTGGGGCGAATCCCACCAGGTTTCCGTTAGCCCTACTAAGTCGTAGGTGTTTTGTGCAAGCAGGTGCGCTAGTTCATCCTGCTTGTTTCCCATGCTCCTAGCATTAGTATATAGGCACTTGAGCCCTGCGACAGGTGCCTTTGCTGCCCCCCCGCTCCGAGTCCCAAGGGGCCCCTTATTTCTTACCTTCTCGTTTCTTACCTGTGCCGTAGTGCTGGCCGCCCCACGTCTTGCAGGTTCCCAATGTTCCCTTTCTTCAGGCTGGGCTGTCCTTGTGGGTGCCACATGGTTTGGTGGTCCACAGCTTCCCCCGCCCTCATCTTCCCCTCCCCCCCGGTGAGCCTAGTTTAAATCCCGCCGGAGGAGATCCGCCAACCTAGAAGAAAACACACGCTTACCTTTGGGGGACAGGTGAAGCCCATCCCAACTGAGCATGTCTCTCGTCATGATGTGCGGGTCGTTGTCCAGGAAGCCAAAGCCTGCCTTGAGACACCACTGCCGAAGCCGCCAGTTGGTCTTTCAGATGCAGTTCTCATGCATCAGGGTGAGCTGGTCTTGTCAGGCTAGCAAATGGATTCAGCAAGCCAGTACAATCTGATTCCAGGCTTTTCAGAAGAAAAATCTAATCTCTGGTTTGGCTCTTCTGATATGCTATTTTAATTTTCAGGGAAAGGTCTGTTCAGTAAAAGGTGCCTTGCCAAAGCCAAATTACCTAGAAAAAGAATAGAGCAAGAACACTTTTCTCTTAAAGAAAACTGCATCAACAGCTTTTTGATTTGTTGCTTCATTCTACATCAAGATGATCTACATCATCATCTCAAACTGAACTACAGAAGACTTAAGTATTAATCTCTGTCAACTTGGATATGTAGCAGCTGTTAGGTTTTTAAGCAGACAGCCAGTGTGTATCTCCCTGGGTAGACCTAAGAGGCAGATGCAAATAGTTTCAATAATATCTTAAAAGTAGTCCACAGGATTTAGGAACTAAGCTGCTACATTAAAGGACAGTGTTCAATGAATATTCAGCCTATGGCTTTCAAAAGTGAATAATAATATTGCGTGCCCGTATTTAGAAAGTGCTGAACATCCATCTGCTAAACATCAAGCACCTTAAAGATGTCTCAACTTGGACACCCAAAATGACTAATCAGTCTTGAAAACCATGGCCTAAATAATTTACAGATGGTAGAAAGAACCCTTTTAGAAGTTTTAGTGGATGATCCTTGGGTGCTGGTTTTTAAAATATATGTCATTCAATATGATCTAAAAATGAGACTTGATTTTTTAGAAAGCAAGTTCTCTTGAAGCCCTGATACTGGTAGTTGAAAGGGCTTCTACTCCCATTTGTAACTCTACTGACTTCCACAGGGCTGATCACATGCATATACAGAGCTCCTTCCAGTGCTAGAAAGTAGAGGTGTCCAAAGTGGGCCCTATTTGATTTGGACTCGACCCGAATCAGGGACAGCGATTCAATTAGTTGATTTGGATTACTGTCCCTGATTCGATTTGACCAAATCTGAATCTGAAGATTCAATGCTGATTTGAACACGGACACAGCTTTAAAAGGTTTTCTTTACATACCTTGAGGTAGCAGGTGCGGCTTGTGATCACTGCAATGCTGGGGCACATGGAGCATCCCACAGGAGTTCAGGGGGGGCCTCCACATGCTTGGCGGTGAACCCGGAAGTGGACTGGAAGTACTTCCGGTCCATTTCTGGGTCTGCCAGGGAGTGTGTTGGGAGGGGCCCCCCGCACCCCTCTGGCTTGGTGATCAGCTGCAGGGGGACCCCAGGTACCCCCCCAGACCCAGAAGGCACCAGTCACCAAGCCGTGGGGGGGGTGCGGCACAGGGAGGGAGGACCTGTGTGTTCCCCAGCAGACCCGGAAGTGGAACAGAAGTGCCTCTAGTCCACTTCTGGGTCTGCTGCTAAGAGCGCTGGGGAGCCCCCCATGCTTCTGTGGGACACTCCATGCACCCCAGTATAGCAGCATTCACAAGCCCCTGCTACCTAGAGGTATGTAGAAAAAACATTTAAAGCTGTGTCCATGTCCAAATCTGAATCTTTCCAAATTGATTAAGGGAAATTAAAGGGTCCTCTGATTCGATTTGGTGGCCAAATCTCCAAATTTGAATCGGAATGAATCTCCATTGAATTGAATCAAAGACCAAAGCTTTACACAGCCCTACTAGAAAGTGATATCAGAGGTCATTCAAGTCACTGTTGGTAGAATGTGTTTATAAAATAATGATACTTTTGTAAATCATTGCTAGGTACATTCTCTAAAATGAAACATCATGTTTTTTTAACCAATCATTTCTCTTCACAACAGCTGCAGTCTGCCTTAGACCATTAACTTCTGATAGCATCTCAGTAGTCCCACTTAAAAAAGAGTACAAAATGAATGAAACCATACAGTTAAGATGTCCTCCTGGCTTCATTGTTACTGGTCAAAAGCACTATACTTGTGGGAAAGAGATGTCCTGGATACCTCCTCTGGATACCTCCTCACTTACTTGTGAAAAAGGTAAGTAATTACCTGCAAGTAATTAGCACATTATTATTTTTAGCAATTAAGTTGTAAGATTGTGCATTGAACAGAGTGTATCCAACTGGTCCAGTAAAGGCTACCTTTGAGTTGTGATCATTTCACTATTATGTTAAAGCTTTTAACTTCCTAACAGTAGATGTGCATGTAGTTTCCTGGAATCATAGAATAGAAGGACCGGGAGGGACCTGTAAGTTCATCAGGTCTGGTCCCCTGCCATAGGCAGGAGGTAATTGGGCTCAAACGAGCACAACGAGGTGCTTGTCCAGCCTCCTCTTGAACACGTCCAGGGATGGTGGCTGCACAACCTCTGCTGGGAGTGTGCTCCAGATTCTAGATGTCCTTACGGAAAAGAAGTTTTTCCTTATGTCTAGCTTAAATTTTTCCTCAACTAGCTTATGTCCATTGGTCCTTGTTCTCCCAAGGGGTCCCTTTCTGAAGAGTTGCTCCTGTAGATCTTGGTGTTTGCCCCAACATACTTGTAGGCAGCTATCAAGTCACCTCTCAGTCTTCTGTAACTCAGACTGAAAGAACCCAGTTCCCAGAGTCTCTCCTCATAGGGCCTAAGGTCTGAGATGACATCAGAATCCAGTTTCCTCCCATAATAAACATACAACCGGAATATATCAAATTGCTAAATAAATAAAGCAGGCTGTTTAAAAGCGTTATGGAATTTAAACCAACGTCATAAACTTCTTCAGCGTGACTCATCTTCTCTTCTACCTATGTAATTATTTACAATATGCCCTGACAAAGACATTCAGATTCATTGGACATAAAGGCAATATATTTACCTAGCTAAATAGAGAGATTGTATCACTGGTTTGTAGGAACTACTCATTGAATGCTCTGTCAGCCGGTTCAAAAAGCATAGTATCTGCCAAGGCCTGAACTTGTTGAAGTCAGTTGAACTCATGTAAGGGTCTAGCTGCTTAGAGCTTCTTGGCACTTCTATGAATTGCCTTCCAGTCCCTATTTTCTCTTTCAGATGAGCAAACAAGGATAAGAGGTCATTGCAAGCTAGGAGAAAAACAAGTTGGATCCCAATGTGTTTGCACATCTCCAGATGAAGACTGTGGGTACGTAGAAATAAAGGCAGAGCCACTCCTTGGGACTATTGCTGCTTGTAATAACATGACTGCTACTTCAAATTTCTCTTCTAACTGAGAATCCTCTTTACAAATTGGAGCATATGTTGTTTTACACTGATAAAATGTGCAGAATTAAAATAGTATTTGGTGTTTGTAGCAGTGTAGACTGGATTATCACCTAGTAATCTGTATTTTATTCAGAATCTTCTCCAGACCTTTCAAAATATTTTTCTTTCCTTCTCTCAACCTCATTTAGCTCAGGCATACACTTCTCCTAACTGTAGTCTTCTTTTCTCCACATTTTCCTGTTTCTTTTCATCATCTTTTCTGTACTCTCTCACTTGTGCCTCTCGTATGTGATCTGGATCTGGTGACCGCTGTTGTACCAAACCTATTGTTCTCCTGACTCCCCAACACCTCTCTGGAGGCTAAATCCCTCTACCTCTGCTGATCCTACCAAACCCTCTAAAAAATAATAGAAACAAATCTCTCATATTTTCCTGAGTTCCAGTCTACCTCAAAATGCATTGTGTGCCATTTCTTTCATGGAAGTCCTGGATTGTCTAAGTCTTGAATTCTGCAGTACTGATGATGAGTCTAGTTCATCAGTAGGATACGCCAATATAAAAAAAATCAGTGTAATGAATCAAACTCAAGGACTGCTTTTTCAATAGTTACAGAGAGAATAACAGATATTTGACAGGCATCTAGAACTCCTGAGAGAGATTAGAATAAGCAAGGAAGTCAGTTTAAGACAAAATTATCTTTCATCTGGGGTGAAGATTGTGGTGTTCTTTGTTCTTCAGTTTTAACTTTTTTAACTTTACCTCCTAGCAGGCATGACTCTGAAGATATCTGCCTACTAAATGCAGATACCAAACAGAACTTTACAGAGCCCAGCTGTGAGTATTTAGCTGAAAGATGCCAGGGTGAACAACAGTTCCATTTCCTGCATTTGGGCCCCTGCGATGATAGTATTGACCTGAAGTGGGCCACAGAAAGGGTAAACCTTTCTATCAGCAGCATAAAGAAAGACCACTGTGGATATGACACATGTTATGACTGGGAAATGTGTACAGGTAAGACATAAAAATGCTGTGACTTAACTAGACCATTGACTTTTAAGACTATGGTTACTCCTTTGGACCAGGATTGAACTTTACAAACACTGTGGGCGCATCTACACATGTTTACTGCACAGTACAGGTATGTGTCTACCTGCATGTCCGTACTGCACAATAAATATAGCAACTTATGCCGATTTGAGTGTAAATTTGATACCTGCATCATGCAGGTATCAAATTTATGTCTGATTAGTTACTGCACAGTAATGCATGTGTAGACATCTTACTGCGCAGTAACACTATGTGTGGACTGACTTGGGACTAACCTTAGTCTCAAGTCAGACCACACACAGTATTAATGCGCTTTAATGCCTGCATGTGTAGACACCAGCCTATTCCTGCTATTCCAGTAAATTTAAGTCAGCATAAATGCATGTGTAGACATGCCCTGTATGAATATTCATTATAAAGTTTCACATACTTTACCAATTAGTTGGTAGCCCTTCACCCTTCAGAATACTGAGCCTTGTGAGCAAGTATTTTTTTCATGTAACCTGAGTTGTGTAGAGCTCATTTGGGAATTACTATTCTTAGGAGGAGCAGTCTTCTGGGAATGAACATTAGCACTGGATGACAGTGAGCTGATGTTCCAGCATCATTTGAGGAATGTTGCTTAATGAGGGTTGTGATTTTGTGAAGACAGTATGATACTTGTGTGCTTATAATTATAGCTGAAACATTTAAGGATAGTGCTGGTTTATTTTTAATTCCATATCATAAAACAGAACTGGCATAAGTACATCAATATTCCATGAATTATGGTCATTGACAAACTATATATGCTCTCTCTTAGGATTTCATGTACCAGCTTCCTGTATTCAGATAACTCTGTCTATTTAAAAACTCCTTGGTAACAGAAACAGTACAAAACCTCAGAGTTCAGGTTCAAAAAAGCATTCCAAGTGCAGGGGTATGTATGTAGCATATCCATGTTGATGAAATCTAGAAAACTGGAGAGGAAATGCTATGAGATTAGATGCGCTCTGTGATTTTTGCCATCTTAATTTATTTTCCTTAAATGCTATGCTAATTATGATGCTTACATTATGACTGCCTGATATACTGGTTTAGGCAACTAGAAAACTAAGCCTTCCACATTTTGCTAAAATTTTCTCTGCAAGTAGTATATTCACTCTAGATAAGTGGCATAAATATATACAGGTGTTGTTGTTTTATTTCAAGCCTACCAAGTTAATTTATAGACCTGCCAAGTACAATATATTAAGGCTATACAGGCAGTCCTCAGACTTACAACACAATTGGTTCCAAAAAAACGTGTCTTAAGTTGAAATGTAACTCGGAACCAATTTTCTCATAAGAAACAATGTTATAAATGGGGGATTGGTTCGTGAACCATGGCCTGATATTCTATTTTCACCAAAAATACCCCAGAATTTTGTACTCGATCAATTATAGATGAGTAATATAGCTACATTAATGTATTTATATTGTATATAGCAATCATATTGATTTGGAAGGACTTCTTTGAGGTGACTTTGCTGGACTTTTTGAAAGGCTCTTGGTTGGACTTTCTGAAGGATTCTTGGCTGGAGTCTTCTCAGGAGTCTTGGCTGCAGGTCTTTCTGGAGTCTTGTCTTCTTTCTTAAAAAAAGTGTCCAAAGAAGTTTGGACAGATGTTCTCCAGGGAGATGAGTGACACAGTGAACTTGGTCACTAGCATGGTGTTGCATCGGATCAAGCATTGTAAAGTTGAAAATGACATCATAAAGTTGAAACAGGGTGTCAATTATAAATGTTGTAAGTGCTAAACGTTTGTCGTGGAAACACACGCAGCATACTTTTGGGTCAGGTCAGCAGAAGCTTTTATTCAAATGAAACTACAGCTGTAGGGGGGACCCCAAAGTGACATGGATTTCCCAAGCACTTGGAAGGGGTTCCCCCCCAAGAGCAAAATCAGGAGGCTTATATACTTTTTAACAGTCGCTTACAACTCACGTGATCATATAGTGGAATTAGCTAGAAAAGCAGCTACAAACACTACTTCATTACTTCTTTGCTGTTATCAGGATGAGAACTATGAGGGAGACAAAGGGGGAAATAACACTCCCTTCTTGCACCTGGAAATCAGAGTTGTACATACTTTTTTCCTATCTTCAAGGCCGCGGTGAGCGAAGCAGTTGCAGAGGAGTTACAAAGAACAAACACTTTCCCTTATCTGTTCTACTATACAGAGCCAGCAATTCCCCACAAAGCAGTTGTCATCTTATAACTCGTATGATCAAAGTTTAAGGCATTTATTTTTTCTGATTTCACACGTCGTAACTCAAAACATAAGTTGAGGACTGCCTGTACCATGATTTATTCATGTCACTGTTGTTGTTCTACTCTGAGGGATATTATGCTTAAAATATTTGTCTAACTTTTTGTGAAAATGTGTTTGTTTGCTAGCATCCGTGAATATACAGGGTTTTCTGCTTGTGAAATATTTCCGAAGATGTCTACACTCATTGTGCAACTTTCCTATTTACTCCATAACAGAGTGATAACAGCAGTGTTTTTTCCTGTAAATTTGTGAAATACATTTTGGCTTACAGTGCACAAAGTAGTTCTGCCAAAAAAAGATGGATAGCAGCCACATTCTTCCATGGCTCTGTGTGTGTGTGTTGGGGCGGGGTGGGGGATGAGGAGGGTTATACGTGTTTGTGCACGTGCATGCATGTATGCACATCTGTACACAGCTCTGAGAGAGTTCCTTTAAAAAGTGCCCCTCAATGTGAAAGAATACAGAGGCATTGCTTAACAACATTTTCCGCTCAATGCTTTATGGGTCCAAAACCCAGCTCAAAACTACCCTCCATCTTTTTTAATACTTTACTTACTACTTTCTCACTGCTACTGCCTATTCTTCCCAGTTAACTATGACTTTTTGCAGTAAGGGTACATCCAAATCATTAAAACTGCTACTATGTACCTTATTTGTATCTACTGGGCTGAACATGAGTACCCTATAGCCTTTCAACACTACCTCACAAAATACTTCACCTTTTAATATTCTTCTATCAATAGTATCACTGATGCTAGAGACAACAGAATATGTTGTGTTAGGATATAGCTATATTTTTGTAACAAACATCTTTTTCTTGGCTCTCTAATACCAATGAGCTGCTACGTAACCCAGTGAAGAGAACTGAGGTACATACTTTTACAAAACTAATTTTCAAATCACTTCTAAACCTTTTCATTCACAGAGTCACAGTGCCTCTGCCTCATGCCATACCAGTGTCCAAGGGATGAGAACCAGCCTTATTGTGTCCGAATGGGATCTACACGCAGAAAGAAGACGTCCAACCTCTGTATACTGGGAGCAATGTTGTGTGCTAAAATGAAGATAGAAATATTATATCCTGGGAAATGTGTAGATTAACATGTTGGGGGAGACAGATAACCTCACTCTCACTAAAGAAATCCCATCGTTGAGCTTCAAGAATGTCATCTTTTTGTAGTAATGCTAATGAATGCTTGGAAGGTTCTAATCCTGCAACCCTCACTGAAATGGCCAAGCAAATTGACTTTTATTAGTAAATGTTTAGGATATGAATCCAAAAAAGATGACAAAGCCAGTAGGGAAATACATATCGCCCAAATGAGGGGCTAACATTAGAGGGATGGGGGTGAGGAGGAGAACACAACTAGGTTACAGAAAATACAATATTAGCCAACTAAGCCCAGGGGGAGGGGGAAAGGAGGAAGGGGAGGGAGGGGGTTTGCAACACTGAGAGAGAAAGAAGATAGATACACACAAACGCGTTACAATGGTCCGCAATGGTGGAGGAATTGGTTCGAAGAAAGTGTCTCATGTCCAAACTACAGTGCTTGCATTACTATTCCATGGATGTGACCCTAGACAATATTATGGTCAAGCCTTTTAACATTGTTACAGTATCAAACTCCAAACATGTAGGAATCATGCATATTACCCTGCATGTTTTTTGTCTTTATGTGAATAAAGACTAATAGTATAAGAATATTGAGTCCTAATAATATCGATTGCTCAAGGACCTAATAATATAAACACATTGGCTGCATCCATACGAGCACAGCCATGTGGTATGTGGTGCCACAAACACATCTGCAATGCCACATACTGTATATTCAGATGTTCTCCATGCTGCAAGGGAGCATTGCCTGTTAGGGGTGTGCAAAGTGGGCCCTATTCGATTCGGATTTGGCCCGAATCAGGGACAGTGATTCTATTCATTGGTTCGAATCACTGTTCCTGATTTGATTCAGCTGAATCTGAATCTGAAGATTCAATGCCGATTTGGAGAATCAGAGATTCAGACATAGACACAGCTTTAAATGTTTTTTCAACATGCCTTGAGGTATCAGGTGTGGCTTGTGAACATTGCGATGCTGGGGCTCATGGAGCATCCCACAGGAGTGGGGGGGCCTTCCACATGCTTGGCAGCAAATCCAGAAGCAGACCACAAGTACTCGATTGGCTGCGAGGCAGACACAGGAGGCACTGCCTGCCGAGCCGGGGTGGGGGGCCCCAGTGCGCTCCCTGGTGGACCTGCAAGCGGACCAGAAGTGCTTCTGATCCACTTCTGGGTCTGCTGCCGAGCACGCTGGGGAGCTGCCCATGCTTCTGTGGGACACTCCATGCATCCCAGCATCACAGTGTTCACAAGCTGCCTGCTATCTAGAGGTATGTAGAAAAGACACTTAAAGCTGTGTCTATATCCAAATTGCCAGATCTTTCCAATTGGATTCAGAGTGATTAGAGGGTCCTCTGATTTGATTTGGATTTGGAAATTTGGCCACTGAATTGGGCCAAATCTCCACCAAATTGAATCGGGGACCGAAGCATTGCACAGCCCACTGCCTGTGCGTGTGCTACTCCATTTTTTTTCTGTGGATTTTTTTTGGATATGGAGTCAAAAAAACCTGCAGGGAAAAAATAGTTGCTGTAGAATTGCCACTGCTACAGCCTCAGGAGGCCCCCAGGACCTCAGGTAAGGCTGCTGCGCTCAGCACGGTGCTGGCCCCAGCCTCCCCTACGCCACCAGGGGAACTTGTTGCATGCCAAAGTGTGCATGCCATGGGCATTCCCTAGGAACAAGTAGTGGTGTTGCAAGGGGAACAGAACCTCCATGCTTGTGAATATGCACTTTGGTGTGAGGCAAGTTGTGCCACTTGTGGCAAACTGGCCCTGCCCAGCTCCTGCCAGATCTTCAACCAGGGGGAGTTAGAAGCTGCGGCTAGCACCTATGCTGGCCCCATTTAAAAAAGCTGCCTTGGCAAAAAGCTCGGGGAGCTTCTGAAGCACAGCCACTTGGTATCTGGGGACACTACCCCTTGTGCCAGCTGCATTGCTGAAGCAGCACTAACCTAGAGTAGCCCCTGAACCCTCTACCGACTGCAGCAGTCTGGCAGTGGGGGCTGCTGTCTGGCTGTGAACTAGTGCCACCTGCAACAACATCCACCCCCTTGGACCTAGAGCCTCATGGCTGCACCTCCCAGACCCAGATGGGGACAGCAGTATGGGCACTGCATCAGAGCCTCCTGCACCTCTGGGCCAGCAGCCAGTGGGCTGTGGTTGCACAGTTGGCCTTCATGCAGCACTGCTGTCATGTCTTCTGGTGCTCTTGCTCTGCCATCTGAGCAGCTATCGCCCAGAAGATGTGCCCATAGAGGTGGCCCCCTTTTAACTATCAAAGTGTGGCCTACTCATCTGCCCTCCAGCGGGGTCCCTGGTGCTGGCCCTGGGCAGGCTCCTCTGCCTGGGTCCCACCACTTGCCTCACCAGCAGGGATCCTGGTATTCCCTGTTTAAAAATTGCAAATTCTCTGATTAAAACCCCCAAATTCTCCCATTAAAATACCCAAAATCCATGTTCTTCCATGATTAAAATGAAATGCCACTCTATATAGAGAAATCAGTTGGGCAATTTTTTACTGATATTTACAATTTTAAAGCAATTTGGTTGCCTAACAGTGCCTCTATCATCATAATGCAGTGAATTCTAAATATCTATATACTTTGATACAGGTGTGGGCACAAACCAGAGCAGTAGTGTGGCAGTTGCCCCTTGTGGGTGGGTGTAGGGGTAGGTGTAGGGTTTATGGGGTGGTGAGGTCTGTGGGTGTGGGGGGACTGTGTGGTGGGATTATATGAGAGGGGTGGGTCCCCCACCTGCCTGTCACCCTGCATGGCACGCAGCCTCCTGCTCCACCCCACCCCACAGCAGCAGCATCTCCTGGCAGAGACCCCTAGCGGCTGCACATGGCACACAGTGCTGCCCAGCCAGCTTGCATGCACCCTTAAACAAAACCAGGCCAGCTCTTGCTGTCATCCAGGCTCCCAGCACCACATGCTAGAGCCATGAACCCTTGGGCTGAGCCCTGTCTCCATGGAGCCAGGTCAACCTGCATGCATGTGGGGCATGTGGAGGGAGGACCCAGCCTGGCCTGCTGGTGCATGGCTCTTATGTGCCGTGCCAGGAGTCCCAGGAGGCAGCAAGAGCCAGCCCGATTCTGCCCAAGGATGCATGCCAGTGGGCCGGGCCACTAGGTCTCAGGTGTTGCTGTGTGCTGTCAAGGGGCTCTACCAGCAGCAGGCTATGAGTGTCCTGATAGCTGCTGCTGCTGCTGCGGGGGGAGGGGCAAGGCATGCTGTGCAGTTTGCAGGGGGGCAGGAAGGGAACCCACTCCTCCCACACAGTCCCCCACACCCACAGTCTCCCCATCCCCACACAGTCCCCCCCACCCACAGTCCCCCCTGCCCCATCCCTACTTACCTGGGACAGAGCCTGGGCCCAATCCACTGCTGCCAGCCTTGCCCTGCTCCTACTTGCCCCAGCACAATGAAGCAGAATGCTGAAGTAGCAGAGGCATGCAGCAGGCATAGAGATACTCTGGCTGGGTGCTTGAGTGTCTCTCTGGAGGACACAGCCTCTGGTTGCCTCAGGGTATGCTATAGGAACATGCCATGCACCGCTTTTTTTGTTCATTTTTTTTTATATATACCGGGATTTCCTGGTATCAAATTTAGAATCTGCACTGCAAATATGCAGTGCGGGGAACGTTTGTTCATTCCCAGAGTGCCTCTTGCAGCATCTCAAACTGCTTTGAGATGCTGTAACAGATACGTGCTCACTTGTCTGGACACAGCTATTGATAGCTGTGTTTTTTAGTATAATGCTACCTGTAGCAAAACGTAAAAATATTAATTTACCCCACTAGAAGTTGGTCACAGAGTTAAATTAAATTATCACTCTGCTCCCACACAGTCTTTTCAGCTCCATGCTGCTGCTTGCCTCTTGGTAAAATTTAATTCAGTATATTTAATTTTTAATATATTTTTTCAAAGTAGTAAATGTAACAAAAATCAGTGACAGCAAATATTTCCAGTTCTATAATTCTGTCTGTTTACATCAGGGCAGAATTCAGCCCAGTGGCTTTAAAGAACATAAACTGTATAAAAGAATAACACTTTCCTAAGGAACATGCATGCACACATCTGACAATAGAATCTAAGCCCTGAAGGAGCCCATTCTTCTTAAAATTTCTGGTCTGAGCATAATCCAACATGGATCACTCTGTATTACCAGAATCCATTCTTTTTGCTATTGAGACAAATCTACCCTACCTTGCACAGCACAGAAAAAAAATCAATAATATTTTACATTACTGGGTCAGTGGGCAGATGCAGTACTTCATAATTCATTGCAGTAATATATCAGCAAATTGCACGGCTGCAGTAAATACATTGTGTGGTAGAAGTGAAACTCATGCAGATTAATGCTAGAAGTAGTGAGAGAGAGCAGTTTTGTATTGGAACAAGTTAGTGAGGGGAAGTTACTGTATTTTGGGTTATGAACGTTTCCTGTGTGACGATATTGCTCTAGACTATGATCTGACTAGATGATCATCTGACTAGATGATGTCAGATTAACGTTAGCTGCGTTAATCTGACATCATATTGCTCTACTTAGAAACGTCATATTCACTCACGTTCCCAGATCTGGACTACAGGGCTCGTCATGGGCTGGATCTGGTGGTGGTGTGTGTGGTTGGCAGAGCACAGGTTAATGCAGCCATCACTTGCTGTGTCCCCGCTCCCTCCCCCGGCACCTTGCTGCTGACGTACCCCCAATAGCTTCCTAGTTAGGAATTTGATAGCAGGCATGCCCACCCCTGATTGCTCTGCCCCCAAATTCCTGGCTCCTCTGGGAGCCCTGAAGGCCAGGTGAACCAGCTCTGTGGGCTGTATCTTTGCCTGCTCTGCTCTAGCTGATAATGGGAGCTGTAGGAAAGCAAACAAGGAAATAACCCAATAAGGCCAGGGACAGACATTACGCATCAACCAGTTTAAGTGATCAGAAACTGGTTTAAACCTGTAACAGAATAGACATTCAGTGCACATAAA